TATATATATATATAGAGAGAGAGAGAGAGAGAGAGAGAGAGAGAGAGAGAGGAGAGTATCATAGATAGAGAAGACCGGAGCTATATAACCCCAGGGATATGTTACTCACGTATTTTTATTGTAGTATTTATCTTGAGAGAAATAGTCGGTACAAAATCGTGAAATGGTCCTTTTAGAACAAATATTTTTCTCTGAGTTTCATTAAAATCGGAATAATATAAGAGTTAAGAAATAAAAAAAACTGATTTGGTAATAGTAAAGTAAATCTTCGAGCCTCTTGAAATTTTGTATTAATATTTTTCATCGTGACTGAATAAAATTAAGCGATGTGTTACTAGCTAGAATGAAATTTCTTGCAAATATATGATACACTGTTTCTGGTAATAAATGTAATTTTTATTTATAAAATGATTGAAATAGAGCATATGAACGAACGAGGCAAAATTGGCCTATATTTAAAGACAGGCAGGAGTACTGTGGAGAGCTCCCGCGAAGACTCCGAAACTAATCAAGATACGTATCTTATATGTGGTCTTCTTACTCCGCGCTATTCGGCAACTAAACTCGATACGAGGACAAAATGGCCACGTTGCTACGTGTTCGTTATTTTGGTTATTACAAATTATACGGTTATGGCGGCCATTAATACACAGAAGAAAGTTACGTTCATCATGTTTATATAATCAGTCACAACAATTAGCTATCTGAGTAGATGTAACTTCGAAATTCTAAAATAGTAGTAGTAGGGCATCTAGTCCCGGTCTCCTCTATTGCACGAGGCGCGTGAGAGAAAATCGTGATTGTACACAATTTCAGAACGCTTCCAATGGCGCACCAGTGTCAGCTACTACATGTGCTGGTACACGATGCAAGGCGTCGCGGACTTAGCCGTCTTCGGCGAGCCCTGCGACAATCACGCCAACTGCCTGGATGAATACGGTGTTCATAACAAGGATCCACGGGCGGACGACACGAAACCGTACGCCTGCGCCCTGTACAGTTTCTGTCCGGACCATTGTTGCCCTATGAAGCACATCCGGTACATGAAAGACTGTTTTCAGTCGCGACGCAATCCTTGCTACGCTGAGAATCGCCCAGGTGTGTAGACAACCATTACAGATACCTGTCGCGCGCGCGAGCGGCTTATTTATATTTCCTAGCACGGTGCCCGACTTAATTTTCACGTAACGCGCACTACCGTCGTACTCGTTGCCCCTTTATTGTTACATCGATAAAAGCGCCGTAGTGCCGCCGTGATGCGCCTGCTATTTCGCGCTCACAATAACAGGCGGCGATATGCTCCCACCGCATATTTTTTTTTTAGATATCACTCATACACCCGATACATTCGCAAAATAAATAACAATCAGTCGCTCGTACGAGCAACTGTATAAACGCGGACTAATCATTTATCATGTTCATAATGAATATTGGCCGCGCGGCGACGATACATCGTGCATTTAGTTAAAACTCACATGAGTAAATCCAGATCGAGCAATCGCGAATCATAATTCGATGAAGTGCACGAGTGCGTCTAGAGCGGGATATTAGTTTTGCATACTACATACTTCTGCATTACTTGGCAGAACTTACTTTCTAAAGGCTGTGTTTTGCATGTTTGTTTACATTTCGTGCAATTATATGCGAGATTATAAAATAGAACCACATGATGCACGATTTCATTGCCTTCTTATATGCATGCTGCTAATCGGCAAGTTCACATTGCATGAATTGTTATCGTGCATTGGAAGATCTATGCAGTAAACTGAGATGTTCGTCAGTATATATACATATAAGAAGACCCGAGTAGAAGTTAATTGGGACGAGCCCTAAGTATGTAGTGATTCTAACTAAGGATGCCTCAAAATAGTCATGGCTTCATAGAGCTCAGATATAGCTAAATTTTGAATAGAATTTCATAAATAGGCTATGAATTTATGCCGACATGAATGTCGGCTACGAATGATGTCGACATGGATGATCCAAAAATAGGCATACTTTTATATTGTCCAGATATGCTAAATAAATAAATCCTGAATGAAATTTTACGAATAGATCATGAATTGGTTCTATCGTGGATGTCCAAAATGAGGCTTGTGCTAATAAAGCTCGGATAAGTTAGTCAATTTCTGAAATGGTTTTAGTAAAGCAACGATTATTCATTAATGATTACTAATTATAAGGTAAATATTTTGATGAGTGTTACTACATTTTAAGTAAATAATTAAGTATGAATTTTAGTATTACAAAATTTTTTGTAATTTTGAGTAAAAAATATAAATGGATGAATTAACCTCAAAGAAAAAGAAAGAAAAGATGTTCGATATTGATAATAATAATATTATAAGTATTATATATAATAAAAGAAACTGTAATAAGTATTGTAATAAAATTGTAATAAAAAAGAGATTGTAATAGGCACGCTAAGAAAGATTAAATTTGTTACACCTTAAACAAATATTTTAAAATAATTCGACATTCCAGTTAAAGTATAGTTAGATATACTAAGATAGGACCTAATCAGATTTACATGTCTAGGCGCTAATTTGTACGCGAATATTACATCTTTGGATGTGGTTTAAGTGAACTTGTTTTTATAGGTTCTTAATAGAAATAGGAAAAACTGTCTAGACTCTTTTTAATCCTTGTTAAATTTCTATCTGGGATAAAACCGTGTATCATATGATTCTAGCTTTATTCACTTCTAATTGTTCGCAGCGCATCGGAAGTGCACGCTGAATCGCGACGAGAATCGCGACTTCGAGGCGCTGAGGTTAAATCGGATAAACGTGAGCTGTGAATGCCACCAGCGCGGTCACGAGTGGTCCTCCAGATTCGGCCTGTGCGTAGACGTGAACGAGTGCACTCGCGGTACGCACAATTGCACACTGGACGCAGGCGAGAGTTGCCATAACCTGCTCGGTAGTTACACTTGTATCTGTCGACTTGGTTACGTCTACAGTTCAGAGGTGAAACGGTGCGTCTACAATCCGGACTTCGATATAACGCTGATGGGCGACGCGAGCGAACCGAAAGTCGCGAAAACGAAAGGTCTATTAGATACGGTTATCAGAACTATCACGAGATCCACTGGGGGCAGTTTCGCCAATGCTCGTCATATTTACATTTCATTGATTTTAATCGTATTAATGTACAGTGACATGTAAGTTAGAATGTATAAGACACCTATGACTTCCTTCTATCTTGATTTATAACATCAGCAGTGAGAAAATACACGTTAAATAGCTTTGCAAAGTATATAAAAATAAAAAAATGCGTTCATAAAATGACAATCGAACAGATGTGTAAAATAATTCCAATATTTTATTCTTGTTCTAACAATCGATGAATAACTGTAAAATTAATGTGACAAAATTATGAGAAAAGATAGTTAAAACTAAAAAAGTAGGTTGCGTGTCGCATTAATTTTATGGTAATTTATTGATTATTAGAGCGAAAGGAAAGCGTTCGGACTATTTTACAGAATATGCCCGATCGATTGCAAGCGGCATTTTATAGGTTTCTTCTTTTATTTCAACGTATTGTGCAAGAATTCTTTTCGTATACTTTCTCGCCTCTGATGTCACCAATCGAGAAGTTTCACGGCGAGAAGTCAGCGACCAGTTAATTTGACTTTCGTTTTAATTTGATTCGACTTCCCATGAATATAATGCGCGACATTTTCATTAATAAATTCATTGAAGAACCATAAAAATCACAATATTGTAAGATACGTAGTTGTCAAATGACTATTTTAACGAGTTTTTATCGGATATAAATATATGCGGAAAATAATCTTATTTTAAACCAGAATATATGTTTATCAGTTTTTGTTACAATAATAATACGCGAATTCTCCACTCCAAATTGTCAAGTAAATACTTCCATTGGAAATTGAAGAAAAATTGAAAAGTGAATCTGATGTATATTTTGTTACGATAGAACTTGAACACTTCTTTTCTGATGCATTTCGAAACGTAGTCAATAGTCCAATGAGAAAACTTGCTTGTTGATTAATTCCCCGAAGTTAAGTTGGACCATTGGTTACGTTCTGAAGTGCATCGGCAAAAAAAGAACTGTTATTGTGTGAAACCAATAGCGTTTTCGACTGAAGCGAGTGTCTGAATCGCTCCGGGAGCGATTAATGACGTTACAAGGTTCTACCAATCACAAAGCTGCATGTTCGAGTCACTAATCGCTCCCGGAGCGATCCAAACACCTGCCTCAGTCAAACGCTATAAGTGTCACATGAAACATATTCACTCTATTGATTTAAACATTCACTCATATTGAATCAGGAGCAACCACCTCAAAACTTGAGAGAAATATTTACTCTTGCAATCTCGAATGGCAGTATTTCACAATCTTGAATGAAAATATGCTTTTCGCACATTCTGAGTGAGATTCTAAGAAATTTAGAGAGTGCAGCTGAAAGACTAATTAATCCCCATCAACTTTATTTATACTGGACGAGATGGTTTTATTTGAACGTTAAATTTTGTGTATCACACATTGTAGAATATTATTCTCTCTCTCTCTCTCTCTCTCTCTCTCTCTCTCTCTCTCTCTCTCTCTCTAATTAAAAAGTCCGTAATAAATTAATGTTACAGTGCCGCGGTAATTTGTAAAATAATGTATCTCTCGGACGACAGAAACAATCTATATTGTCCGTAATACCGCGTACTCTCCGTCTTATTTAATGAAATTAGTAATTGCGTAAATTGCGAGGGTCTCGTCGACACAACGGTATTGTAGTTTCTATTACCGGATTAACATGGACGCTACGAGTACGGCCGTTTAATAACAGCGCGCACGATAATCTGTATCAGCGCTATAAACTGCGATATTACCGTTTAGAAATATCCGGCCACTTAGGATGCGCCACATCGTAGAAATTTGTGCCCGTAACAATTCAAATTTTAATCTCACTCTTGCGTAATAGCGCGATTCCGTGTGTTTCGTACGCTATCACAAACGGTCCCTCTTAACGGTTATTTGCCTGGCTAAAGGAAAAACAATGCGCTCGTGTATGCCATATTCTGTGTTTAGCGCAACTGTGAGGCAAGCACAAACGACGCTGAACACTCGAAGGAAACATCCGGCGCTCGGGACTCTTGAAAACGTTAAGATATGCGAAACGACAATTATCCCTTATTATTAAAATTGCCGACCAATAACGCGTCGATTCTCTCTAATTCCAACGATAAAATTTCTTCCAATTTACAATTCGTTCTTCTGCAGACTATTATATAGTGTTAAGGTTTCTTGTGTTCCATGTTGAATTTGTGACGTTAGACAAACAAGTGTGCTCAAGTAATCTCAAATGCAGTCTCTTTCGTCCATACTTATCTTTATTTAAAAATGGCAGCATGTGATTTCGTCAGCATGTGATTCCTCGCTTCTGACGTCATAAATCTAATATGGTCGAGATACAAGGAGCCTTAATAAGATGTGACACATTGATTTTCACAAATTTTGTCCGAGTTGAATAATAAAAACTGATATTTATTGCGACATGTATCTTTTAAGATGAATAAAAATGGTTAAATCAGTAAAAATAGTATTTTATTGATAGTGAATATTCATTGATTTTCACACTTTATTCATGCTTCCTCTATTTTCACGTTTCCTCTTACATTGGAAAAATTTTTTGTATCTGGAACTAAAATATTTGGTACATACCATTTAGAGTTGGCAAGTAAGATGTATTAGTGAGAAAGCAAAACACACAAGCAATAATCAAATTTTCTGGTTGCAATTATCAAATATTTGGTTGATGCCATCTTAATCAAATTTTGATCCCGTGTACTAAATTTTCGTTTCGACAAAAAATTCTTTTTCCAGTGTATATTTCACTGATTTTGACCAGCAGAGAGAAAAAATTTCGCTGTAAAATCTGTACGCTACAAATTTGTTATACGCTGTGTCAAATCTAACTTTTTGCGTTTCTGGTGATGGAATTGCCGGTTTCCGTGCGATTTGCGTGCAATGACACTGTCTATGTTTGCGTCAATAATAACAGCCGCTACCAACTAATTCTTTCAGGGAGATTTTACTGATTGCAATGCTATACTTATAAGTAAGCTACTAGTTATAAGTACAGCGTTTCAGTGGAGAACACAATGATTGTACTTTACAGAGCGAACATGAACATTTCGTGATTGACAATTACGACGAAGATAAGCCCGTTCATTTATTCGACAATCTCGCGGATTAATCTACGTTACTCTAATCGAATGGTTAAGCAACGCATTGGCTGAGAGCCGACGTAGTCTGCGTGCCCTATCATGCTCGCGTGACGGTGCGCAATTCAATTTTTGCGGTACGTGTGTACGGAACGAAGTGAACGATGCGCTTTGCGCGCAGCTTTATCATTTTCGCTATTATAAAATGCAGTCGTACGGAAATATTGCAGAGAAATCTGCGGAAAACGTGTCCAGTGGAGAGCGAGTCCAAGTCGAACTATACAAAAAATCTGAGTGGGTCAAGCGAGAGCGAAGCCTAGCCTGAGACACACACACACAGAGAGAGAGAGAGAGAGAGAGAGAGAGAGAGAGAGAAGAGGTGGATAGATAGATAAAGAGAGAGAGAGATAAAGAGAAAGAGGAGGGGAGAGAGAGAAGTGATGCTGTTTTATTCATCGACGCGCGTCCGCATGGAAGAACCGCCGCGTCTTTGCCGCCAAAGGAACTCGTCGCGCGTTGTAATACATAAATGTATAAAGGACCGCGATTTCCCTTACTTCCGACATATAATATCATTCGTCAAGATGCGATCGCTTGGTAATCGTTTATTTCGATTTATTGGACACGGGGAAGATCGATGATCGCGCGCGTATCCCGAAAAGCGATTCTCTTCGCGCGCGCGTGCGTGCAGACTGTATAAATGAGAAATTGAGACGTAACGCGCGGAACGTAGTGAGAAAAATGGGAAGCAGACGAAAACGAAAGCAGTTAAACAGCGCGCTAACGCTTGCATTTCTCCTGTTGCGCGTTTCGCAAGACAAAATGTAGCGCGGCATGGGATTAGGGGAAACAAATCGCCGCGCTGGGGGCTTACATAACTCGCCACCGATCGCCAAGAATCATGATACTTTCGTGCAATCTGAATGCCCGTTACATAACGTCAGCTATAAACCGGTTCTATCCTCCACGTGCGTTTGCAGACTGCATTCTGGTCGGTCGTATTTTAACATTACGCGCGTCCGTAGTTTCTAATTTACGTACAACCGCAAACCTAAGTCTAAACAAGGTTTCAATTGTCGGAGACACCGCTTATTAATTTGCTGTTCTACGGCAATAAACTAAATAACACGTCATTTAGTTCATTAGCAAATATAGGCATAGAATTTAAAGATTCAACGTGACTTTGCAGAGAGAGAGAGAGAGAGAGAGAGAGAGAGAGAGAGAGAGAGAGAGCGAGCGCTTGGCGATACACTAAGAGAAAAAAGATACTCACAAGAAATGAAAACTATTTATTCGGTTAGATCAGAGTATTGATAACACGCTTATACTTTAATATAAATTATTTTTCAAGTAAGACATACGTAGAAATAATGGTACGATTGATGCACACATAAATCTGGCTAATCAGATACAACATTGAAATGCTGGCCAGGCACACGTGTGAGTCAACACTCTACTGTTTCTTCCGTGTACATTTCTTTGAAATCTTAGCTCTTCGCAAAAGCAACTGTTTATTCTATTTAAATAAAATAATTTATATTTAAGTAAATAATTATTAAATTACAAATAATTATAAGTTATAATTATTGAATTTACTTATTGCTATATTTTATTTCTTGTTATTAAATATGTTATTAGTATTCACCGAATAAATATTTTTTAATCTTCTCAGATATTTTTCCTCTCAATGTAGTAGGAGAAAAAAGATCGACCAACGTAGATTTACTTCGCGTCAACGTATCATAAGGTATCGAGGTGTATTAGTGCGTCTTTATATGTGTTAATAGCATGCATGATAAATAATGTCATTTGAGCACAGATAATATCGAGCCAGCCCGCACAGCTCATTGGAAAAAGTAATTAACGCGCTGGGTCGTTTGTGCTTTGCAGGCACGATATCATTACAGATATAACTACTATTGGCCAGCTGCCTTTATAATGCTCGGCGGCACCGTCGCTGAAAAGCTCGCGGGTTTTCATCCGCGTGTAAAACCACGGTTTGCCTCAAATTGGCTTGATTTTTTATTCGTAAACAGTGAGCCATCGGACGCGATTTGTCGGCCGGGCATTGAAAACAACGGCGCGCGCGCGGACGGTCGTGTATGAAACGAAACATGCGCGCCCGGGAAAAATGCACATATTCATACATGGAAATAGCGCGGCGGGGGAAAAGAGGCCGGCCAGCTGGCCGGTGCAGCGTTACAGGGAAAATCGTATGGCCGGATGCGCCAAAAACCCGAATATTTGCCGGCGCGCCGCGGCTATCTGCGCCAATTGACCGTCATAACATCAATTTCAGGCCTCGAAACGCGTCAGCGTGGCGCGTCATTTCGCTATACGCGTATGTACGTTTGCGTTATAAATATCTTTACCTGGCCTAGATACCTGGGCATTATCGGAACAAATGCGTCGAGTTTAGAATCCAAATATTATTCTTGCGCCGAGTTGCTGCCTCTTACTTCCTTCCTTCCTTCCTTGATCACGGATAGTTCCGATGCGGCGTATTACTTAAGAACGACTGCTACTTTCCCGCTTTGTTTTACATCCGATAATATGACGCTCCCGATCGCGAGCGATCGCTGCCCGTTGCGAGTCAGAAATGACGAGGTTGAAACGTTTCACCGTTTACCCGCGAACCAGAAATAAATACAACAATGTTCGATCCAGACGCAACGGCGCGAAAGCAGAGAAATGCCGAACCAAAGCCGAAGCTATGGATTTTATGCTAATTCGGGGCCCGCGCGTATCCCCGATAAACGTAGCTACCATCGCTTTCATTTACATCGAGACGCCACTGACGCCGATGAGGCGTCTCTGCACTGCCTTGCCGATCCCTTTGTTCCCCTTGATTATCCTACTTGCAACAGTGAAGACAAAGCTCTCATCAAAGCGAATCGACAAGTTGCAGTCCAATTTAATTGGCATAGCCTAGCTCAGCCTTATGACTGAGACCTTGCGTAAACTCAAACCTGCCGAACGCCGACGTCTACTAATGCGTTTCACAAATGTTTCCGTCGTGAGTGAATCGTAATTTTCGAAATCGGAGGATTCTCCACAAATACTTTGAACTACTCGACTTTGGTAGGGCTCGAAATTTGATAGGAGTAATTATCGGGTTGATTCCAATTAATTGTAATCTGATCTGTATAAGATAATCTGTTGTTTGACTCTTATTATGAATAATCCTTACATGGAAAGAATTTTATAGCAAAAATTATTATAGGATTTTGTACTGAGGAATATATCGACATTCTGCAGTAATTCATTCTATCTTTTCATTTCATATGTACTATTTATATTTTAGGAACTAAAATGTACTATTAAAACACTTTCTATGTTCTTTAGCGAAAAAATAGACCATACTGATAATCTATTCCTAAAGCACTAAAGTATTTAGTAAAATTGAAGAGCTTATATATAGAAAAACACTATAATATTCTATCCATGTATTACTACTGATAAGGTTCTGATTGCCATGTTACATTACATGACTTATTATGACCCGATAAAATTATCTTGTATAAACCGAATAACTGATTAAGATTAACCTAATTAGAACCGTGGGATAGAGTTCTAGTCGGGAGAGATGTGTTGGAGTAAGAGAAATAAAAAGAATTTATTTCTCTTATGAAGATATATTTTACATCTTCTTCACACCGAACGTACTTCTCTCACTTAATAACTTGCTAGTTAACTTTTACTTGCTACTTCAACTTACGCCGAACTTATTCCGTGTATTATAAACGAGCCTTTAAACGTAACTAAAGAGCGCTTCTGAGTTTCGAAAGAACAGAATATTCCTTCTCAATGTTTATTGGGTGCAGTAGACGTTAGTATTCGACACGTCTAAAACTACACAATGGGTCAGAAGACTGAGCTAGGTTGTGGCAATTAAATATATCGCAAGTTACCGACTAGCTTCGATAAAAGATGTCCTATTTTACACTAAGAGAAATTATTTGATAAGAAATTAAGAAAAAAATATTTCTGATCAAAATACCGATGAACTTTTATATCCAATCCCTCCGATGAGAAATATCGGTTCATAATTTTTATCTGATAAAATGCCATTATAATCGCAAGTATTTCATTAAATGTAATTAGATATAAAAATTTGTCGGTATTTTGATCGAAAATATCTGTTTGTTAATTTTTTATCGGGTAATTTCTCTGTGTATAGCTTGGTTCACGTGACTCGTTATTAACTAATATACAATGTACCGCGGAAATAACGCAGCAATTACGCGCATGCGAGCAGTGTTTGCGCGATGATGCAATTGCTTGCGTCCGAAACCGTTCGAGATCGTTGCCACCAGCAGATCAGGAAATGAAGGTTTCTCCTTCCATTCGCGTTATTCGGCGACACGAACGATGCACCGAGTCTGGTGCGTACCTGGTGGAATATCAGCGAACGTCGCGCGCTCGACACGCAGTCGGCTTTCCTTTCGAATCGTGTCAGTCATCGACAATGTCTCTGTGCGAGTGGTACGCGAACCGTACGGTTCTCCTTACGGGAGTCACCAGCGAATTGGGACGTGCTGTCCTAGAGAAAATCCTACGATCTCTGCCGGACATCAAGGTATACGTCATCCTCAGGCCTCGGAACGGCCTGACCAAGGAGGACCGGCTGAAGAAGATATTCGCGTCGCCCGGGTACGAATTATCCTCCCATGAGTTCGCGCGAGTCTTGTAAATCGGACGCCGCTCGCCCGATATCGCCTTTGTGAGCGTTAAATTGTGACCGCGATTCCGGTCTCGAAGGCGTGCGCCGAATTTATCCCTCGAGTAAGTCGAAACGAAAAAGACGTCCCCATCTACGGTGGTTCTCCGCGGGAATTCTGGAAACGTGGTGCACCTTGTGCCGGAAATCGATTGCCACATTAGATTTTCATCTCGCGAATGCTCACTCACATTGAAAAAAACGTTTAGTTGTCGAAATTAAAATTTGGTCAAAATGGGATTAACCAAATGTTTGGTAACTATAATAGAAAAATTTGATTGCTGCTATTGTTTCGCTTAGCGACTAAGTAAATATATTACTGAGAAAGGCAAAATAGCGGCAATTGAATTTTTTGATACCAAATATTACCATATTTGGTTGATCCCATTTTAACCAAATTTTAGTTTTGTCAATCAAATTCTTTTTTTAATGCACGATTCTGTTAGAAAGAATCGTAAAATTGATTGTTTTTTCTAATGGTCGATTAATCGATAGATTTTTCAATAAGAAATACAGTCAATTATAAAAAATCGATGAGAATGTGTAAGTGAGGTTACACCTAACCAATACTTTTCATTATTTTTAAATAGTTAATCTATAGCATAAGGAAATGTAGATTTTTATATTAAGATTCAATAATAAAACATTTACCACATTAAGGGAATGCCGAAACAGATGACAAATTCTCGAAAAATGTCAATAACAGAGACCTTAGTCTGCCATGTCAATGCCTGTCTTCAATCAAATAATGGCCATTTTGAATATTTGTTGTAATTTAAATTTTTACTTATGATTATTTCATAGTAATGTTAATATAAACTTTATTTTACAATAACTTCGCAACCACTCATATTTGATTATAGATTTATCTAAATTTTTTTCTTTATTTTGACGAGAGGAATATGTCCTAGAAATCTGTCCAAGTATTTCGTAAATATTCTGTATAATATACAAGAAATGCAGATACCCTGTTTATATGTATAAGAAATACGAAAAAGATAATGATTGTGTTAGTGACGGTCGTCTCTGCGTTATCGATATTTTTTGATTTCGTCATCGACTTCAAAATCTTCTTAAACGTAACTAGAAACAGGAAATGAAACAATTCGAAAATTCATCGAGACTATATATAGTCTTGCTTTCTCTTCAGTAATACATAAGTATTATTTTGTTTTGTTCCACCTGTTTTACTCCACATTCTATGAGCAATAACGACAGGACAATGCTTATGTAGATTGTAGACTAATGTCATTAAATGGAAAGTACTCACGACGCGCTACCATATTGATATTCTCAATTGTGTTTGGATCACTGGCTTATTGCTTCAGTTTTACCAGCATCGATTCTGTCTTATCGGTTCCTCCAAAAAGCGATGATTGGAAAAATCGAATTGATTTTCTCGCAAAAAATCTAATCGATTTTCAAGTAATTAAATCGAAATTGTGAACCGCCTATGCTTACGCGCCGCGTTTTACCAGTAGAACGGTGTGGTGCAAGAATTCTCTTCCGTAAAGAGAGAAAAAGAGGGCGACAGGCCTCTTTCTTCATTACTCGGGTTTATTTAAATGTAAAGTGATCTATCGTGACGATACACCATGCAACGAGAGAAATTTCAATTATGATTCGTTGTGTTGTGACTAGAGATCCGTATTCTCGCCCGGCATGAATTTAATTCGGTGTCAATATTATATAATATTGTACGTGTGTGCTGTTCGTATTATCCGAGAAACGTCACTCCGCCACTCCGGCGTTTGAAATACAAGTTAATCGCGGGGATACGAACTACTCCGGGGAATAACGGTCTCTACGGCCCGTCGAATCGATTTCCGCATAATTCGCTGCATTGCCCCTTAAAATTCGCCACTCCATAATGATGCTTGGTAACTTATCGCGCGCGCGCGCGCGCGATACCATTGGCCCAAGATAGCGGGATTCGATACGTCGTCTGCGCGTTGCGATCGCTCGTTGCGCCGAAATCACGCCGCAATAACGATGCAATCAAGATCGAGAAGGCGAGATACGATCGGACGTACGCGTTTAGAGACAGACGCGTAAACCCGATTGCCTCGTTACGTGCTCGTCCATCGTAACGATCGTGGATGCATCGCGAGATGCACGCGAGGCGAAACTCAGCGCCGTTCCATCGCGCAACGCCTCACTCTCACCCCCTCCTCTCCCCGGTTTGAGGAACCGGGGGTGAGAGCGCGCAGGGAGAGATTTATTTTCATTAGCACACGCCTCGTGCCCCCTTTAGAAAGATTATGAAGTATACGTGGAACTCATCCTCACCTTTCCTTTCTCTCGTTCTCGCGCGCGCGAAATCCGTGACCGCGTGGAAAATTCGTCAGCGCGTTTTGAATTTCGCGAAATTAAAACTCACGAAAGGATTGTCTCTGCTCTCTCTTTCTCTCTCGCACTGGGAAATCGCAGTTACCGGGATCACCGAGGACTTCTAGCGTGAAAAAGAGGATCGCGCGAATGAGAAAATGCAAATTGACGTGCCCAAGCGTTCAAGGTGTACAGGCCAGTTCGACGCAATTAAGTAAAAAAAAATCGCTATCAGTGTCACGTCGAGCTCTATTATGTGTATCTTATTTGCGCTTTTTCCACCAGTTTAACGCGGTTATTATATCATCGAGATGCGATTCGCAGCCTTTGCATAACGACCTTCGCAATTGACAATCTTCGCTTCCTCAAAGTAGCGTAAGAACGTAATAAAGTAGTACGCATACGCGATTGAGTGAAATAAAAACTGAAGAAAAAAATGTGAGTAAAAATCCAATTAACATATTGACGTATCTCAACAACGTTAGGTTTACTATTCAAGGTTAAATATTCAAGGTTAAATATTCAATAATTTATCACACAACTGGAAACGGAAAGTGAAGCAATTCGATACGAAAATTTATCGAGACTATACAGGATGTCTCTGAGGTAAGACATACAAAACCACGTGTGGAAGTAGAGGAAGTTTCACGTGGTTGTTTGCAAAATGTCAAGGGTCCTCGTGTTCAAGTTGACCCGCTCTATCTTCACACGTGGTTTTGTATGCTTTGCGTCAAACACCCTGTATATGGTGATTTTCCTTCAGTAATACATGTCAGCACAAGCATTATCTTGTTTTACTCAGCCTTATGTAAGAGACAAGACAATGTTTGTATCGACTTGTCACTTTTCTATAGAAGAAGTATAATTACTCATTAATGAGTACGTTTATCTAATGAGTACTCATTCATACGTTAATTGATACGTTTACGTAAACATTGACATATATCAGTATAAATATAATATACATAATAAAAAAAAAATGGTTTACGACTACAGATCTAAATCTGTTATTTCTTACATTCTGATGGTAGTCAATATAGTTACATAATTTTATATAACTTTTATAGGCAACAGTCTACTTGCAAAACGCGACTTTCTCTTTTATAAATTCTCTGAGCAAGACGGAGAAACATATGAGGAGGTGTTGTCAGTATGATAGCTAAAATTTTTTGGAAAGTTTACATATACATAATAGACTATCAGTTAACATAATAGGTTATCGCGGACTTTGTAAATTTGTTTCACCGGAATATGTGTTTTCCATTCATTCCGTTAAAAGCGACAATGGAAGGTCGCGAATCCGCGAATCACTAGGTGACTGCTTTACATTTTTAAATGACACAACGGCGTACACTTCTTTTGTGCGACGCATCTCCATTTTTATGACATCCCCGGCAGTAAATTCCAAAGCCGATTTGCGTCAGCGGCGTTATTATCGTCGGCAGGTACGAGCGACTGAGGCAGGAGGTGCCGGGCGCGATCTCGCGCGTGCAAGCGTTCGAGGGCAATCTGCTTTACGAAGGGCTCGGTCTAAGCGCCGCGGACAAAGCCTCGTTGAGGGAGGTCACGGTGGCCTTTCACGCTGGTGGCCCGCACGACGTCGTCCTGGAATATTGTCAGGAATTACCGAAGCTTAGGTGCGTCGCAGTAGCGTCCAGCATCTTCAAGCATCGCGGCCAGATAACCGAGAGCTTGCAGAATGAGGCCGTTCCCAAGATACCGGTTGCCCTTGTGCGCTTCCCTTTCATCGGGCCGGCTCACAAGCAACCCATGCCCGGTTTCGTCGAGATCCTGCGTGGTCCCACCGCGCTCATGGTCGGCGCGGGTTACGCGTTCGGCAAGGCGGAGCTACAAGCCGAGGTTATTCCGGTGGACATGGCGGTGAACACGATGATCGCGGCCGCGTGGGAAGTGGGCACGTATGTATTCATGCGAATTGGGGAGAATCTTTCCCGCTAATTTAATTACGATTATTTTCAATTTCTGTCAACTTGTACGTACACTGAAAAGAGGATCTTGTAAACGAAAATTTCGTACACCAAACTGAAATTTGGTATTTAATCCTTTCGTATACCTCCGGCAGAAGAGATGTTTTACACATTGAGACGATTATAGAAGTTTTTGGGAACGCTGATTCCAAATTTACTTTCAATATTTAAATTCAAAATGGCGGCTGTTAAACGCTTAAATACTGATATATTTAAAATATGAACTCGAATTAGACTTCTCTGCTTACTAATTACAAATAGAATGTAAATATTTAAATTTGAAATAATAGATTTCAGACAATGACTACAAGGAACTTCTGAACACACTCATTTTCGACTACAGGTCGAAATCTGTTATTTCATATATTCTGATGGTAGTCTACTTACAAAACGTGACTTTCTCTTCTATGAATTCTCTGAGCAAGACGGAGAAACATATGAGGAGGTGTTGTCACAGTATGATAGCTAAAATTTGAATTTTTTGGAAAGTTTATATAACTATATTTTGTAACAAATGTTAAACACTAATGTTAATTTTTTACATACAGCCTTAACTTTCCTTCTTAAAACAAGTCAAGGTAGAAGTCGATAGAATTATTAATGTTATGAATTTTTTCATAAATAAAACGTGTATGTTCCAGAGATACAAAAGGGTTAAAATTAACTACGTTTAACAAACTAAACGTTTGGTAATTACAACTAAAAAATTTAATTGCCGCTTTGTGTGTCTTGTCTTCTTAATAATATGTGTACACATGAGTAAAAACATGGTAATGTTAACTAAATTGCGTACGTACCCCAAATATTTTATTTCCCAAATATTTTATATTATATTTTTATTCCCAAATATTTTATAAATACAAAAATAATTTTTTCAGTGTAACATTTCTGAAATGTCTGCTTCCTTATTAAAAGAAAAGAGTTGCTAGCTCCATGCGCGATTTACTTCTTGCATTCGTTTTCCCAAGTTTCGTTCGTTATAAACACGAATAATATTTAATAATCGCAAAAGCGGATTAACCTAAATTAATCCGGCTTCATAAAGTGCTCTTAGCTGCTCTGCCGTTGCGAGAAATAATCTGAATGGCCATTTATATATCGACTAAATTCAACTTACCGTTACCGTGTCAAGTATCACTTATATCTTAGCCCTGTAATTTCTGTAGCGGAAGCAATCTATTAAGATCTGCCTTACGTAAGTACAGTAAAGATACTTAAATATTACATTCAGTGTTATTCAATTAAGAAGCGAAAGGCAATTGGTGTTGAAGGCACCGTGTAAGGCAAATATGGCATTATGCAATAGTTGAAGAACAGTCATAATTAATGTCCGACTGCAAGGCGTGAAGCAGAGTACAGTTTTATGTATTCGCGAGTATATGTCACGCGATTTTTCTTTTTCTCCAAATTCTCAAATTATCTTGTAAAAAACGATTATTAGTTCTGCTTCAAATATGTTTCAAAATTCAGAAAAGGTAGCTCGTTATTTCTTCATAAAAAACATGAAATACGCGGATGGAAAAAATTAATTATTGAATAGAATAACGTTAAGAGACGCTCGGTAACATGCTAGGCATATATATAGGATGTCTCAGAACAATGTATATATGTATATATATATACATGTATATATAATTACACATATATAATTATATATTAATGCCGTCAGTTCTATCTTTTTCTCCTATTTTTTTCACACAACAGAGATTACGAAATAAAGAAAAGTGCAAAACACAATGGAATATCTTGTGCGTGAATTTAGCGGGTTGTTTTATTATAAGAGAAAAAATAATAAAAATATTAATAAGATAAATATCTCTTTCGCTATCTACTGTACTTTTTAACATATCGCCATTGAAATTCGTTGCAGACGCGGCTTATCTAGTTTTCCAATGCGAAATATTGGATACGAGCAAACACGTTTTGCGTTTCCGCGGTTGTTACTGTTTGCTCGCTCCCGACGCTTCCGCCTCAATTGTCTAAAACGAAATTCGTTCCTTTCAGTTTTTATTCGAGATTCAGCCCACAATCCTCCGAAAGCAGAGCTGCTCCTATCTTCTCTCGCGATATCGTATTCTCTAAAGTACGATCAGTATATTTATCACTGAAATGTACTACACTTATATAACTGATTATTCAGTTATAAATTCGGCATTGCAGTCAGTAAAATCTCTCTGAAAGGATCAATTAATAGTGGCGATTGTTAATGCAGTTTGCAAACGCGGACAGTGTCATCACACGCAAATTGCATGCCGAAGCCGTTAATTCTATCAATGCAGAGAGTTGGATCGAAATCCAACTGTACGAATACAGTGATGACGAATTTGTATTGACTACGGATTTTGAAGCGAAATTTTATTTCCACCGGTCAAAATCACTGAGATATATGATGGAGTAGTAAAGTGCGAGTGTTTCCGCGAAAAATCAGCAGATACTAACTGATTACACTATATTACAAGATTTTCCACTTTTATCATGAAAGGTGGCTTTTTAGTAAATCGGATGAACTGAATACGAATGTGACTTCAAAAACTGTCCATCACATCAGGTTTCTGAGAAAATGAATTTATACCACAAAAAACGCGTTTTTGATCATTTTTACAAATTCGTAACACATGAACCAGACGTGCTAGCAACTTTGAAAGAATTTGAAATTAATGCTTGAACCTTTGTCTTTATTTTTGTCTTTATCTTGAAAAGTCGGAAACTTAAAGCGCAATTTCGTAGAAATCACCCTTACAAGAAAATGAAGCAATTTCACAAATTTATACGATACAATAGCAAAATTATAGTTTATACTCAACAAATTTTTGGGTATACAGAATTAGTGATTACAAAAACTTTTCTATTAAAATCGATTGTATCTATCTATAACAAAAATGTAATTAGAATCCTATTCTGCAGAATATAATTTTTTTTAATATTACTTTAATATTACTGTTATTTTGTAAAATGATAGGTTTAACAATTTCTATGTCCTCCAAGGATAGTATGAGCGACATGAATGAATAAGATATATATTTGTTCTATAACCTTTATTATTTTCTGAATTTCTCCCACATACAAATTTACTCAGAAATTTATTGCGTATAAGTTACAAACTATTTTGTTGTATTTTGTGACAATGCTTCATTATCTGCAAGAGTTTTACAAAGTTATATTTTAAACTTCCGACTTAAATAAAGATAAAGCTTCAATTTTAAACTTTTTTGGAATCGTTGGTACGTTTGGTTTATGTGTTACCAATTTATAAAAATGGTCAAAAACGCGCTTTTAGCGTATAAATTATTTTTCATTTTTTTCGGAAACGTGATGGACAGTTTTTGAGTTCACATTCGTGTTCAGCTCATCAGATTTACTAAAAAGCGACCCTTCGTGACAAAAGTGCAAGAAATTGATCAAAATTTGTAACTTAGTGTTATCGGCAAAAAATACTCCTTTTATATATATAATTCAATCAGAAATATTTCTACCAATTCGCTTTAAGGGATTAAATCCTTCGGGTTAAAAATGCGAACAAATATTTTCAGTTTCGACGTAGTTACGTCGGTCATGTCGTCACTTGACAATGTGCATTAATATGTGTTTTGACGAAAGAAAAAAACTCTTTCATAAAATACAATTTTATGAAACAATTTACATCAGTGTGCCGTATTGTGTAGAAATCGCGTCGTGCGTTCTTATTTCTATTTATTTGAATTAATGACCGCGTCGATCGAGGCGAAACGCGAAAGCCCCTGCGCTGCTCGTTGGCTTCTCGAGGTGTGGGCAACCCTTTCTTCCCGGCGTGAGTTATATTTCTGGTTCTTGGAGCAAGTACGCGCGCGCGACTGTGCGGTTCGTGCACGGCGAAGAAAACGATTATTGGAGATTGTACGCGCGAGCCGGTAATTGAAATCGATAGTTAAATTGCGCTCCGCGCTTCACGACGGGATAGTTAGATTATATTAGATCGATTTACTAAACGAAGCAACCCCTGTCGAAGATACGGACGGTGCATCGATTTCCGCGTGTAGGATGCATCGACGAGGAAAGTGGCTCACGTGAAGCGTGAAATGAAAATCGAAAATAATATCGTAACGGCGAGGAGATGGTGCACGCGCTCGCGAGAGAATCCCCGCGGCAGGATTGACGAGGAACCACGACGAGATCGCGTCGTCTTGTGTCGATCCTCTTCATCGGCTGGTTTCGAACGAGATTTTAACTGGCGTCCGCACGCACAACGAAAACCAAGCGAATCCTTGAAATCGCGAGCTTCACTTAGTTGCACAAATTATTTTAGCCGAAATTTAACTCATTAAACGCTTACTCAGGTAAACTCGGCAATAATAACATGTTGCACATGCATAAGAAAATCAACAAATTTGTGCATGAAAAGAATGCCTCTTCTATTGGGCAAATTTTTACACTAGATTGGTCAATTTCCTTGTGCGTATGAATAATGCAAATTTAACGAATTAAACTCCGGTTAAGCAAGTTGTGGAATTGGTCCTTGACTCTTCATATTTGATAATGATTTTTTATGATCTATATGCAAAAACGACTGATACAGGACTTATTTATTTAGCATTGTCGTTCTAAAGCAATGTCTGTTTACCTGTTTTGTTCGTCAATATATAGTTCCGATTTTTGTCATTGGACGATAAAAAAAAAAATATGTTTTCAAAATGAAATTTTGAAGACGCTCTCACTGCATTCAACAGCGTTTACTTCATTTGAACAGTCAAAAATCGTTCTCTTGAAATTTTTTTGGTTTGTTAAATAGAAGGTTAAGTCAGCCCCAACAACGAACCGATTGAACGAAACTTATAGCTCCTCCCCCCCGGGGCTCTTTTCCTAAAAGTCTTACGCTTGCTACTAGTTTCTACCGGGAGCACCTCTTCGCTTCGCTCTGAAGTATTTCCGAACGACTGAACTGCGAATAAGTTGATTGCATTCGCCTTGCAAGAAACGGAGCGTCGCTATATCTGCCTCTCATGCACCTCCCCGTTCGGCTTTGCCGGTTGCCCGTCGCGTTTCGGAGGAGTTACTAGTTGAAAATACGATTAATTATCGGTAGTCGTTAGTAGCAGCTTTGCAGAGCAGCGCGATGGAAGTACAACATTCACGGGCGCGAATTCAGGCGTCGATGTACTAAATGTGCGCAGATACATATTGTTGCTCGTGTAAATTACGGTGCGACTCTAAATCAAGCGAGAAACGTGTTACGTTCGATCGTGGTTAATTTTCGCGTGACGCACAGGAGAAAATATGCCGAATTGCACTCTCTCCTTCTCCTCCCAACCTCCTTCCCATTCCTCTTTCTCTATTTCTTTCACAATATTCTCTCTTTTCACGCGCAGGTCTAACGCTGCGGAGCCGGTAGTCTACAACGCGACGACGATCGATTGCACGTGGAAAGATCTGGTTAAAAAGAGCCGACGGGCCAGCTGGATATTCCCGTATCCGACCTTCGGAATACGTGGAATGACGTACATCGTACCGCTGTACTGGATTTTGGTGCTGCTTCTCGAATGGCTGCCATCCGTACTCTGCGACACCGTCCTCAGTCTGTGCGGCAGAAAGCAGAGGTACCACGAGCGCGGAATTTATCGCGGAATTCCGCGAGTCACGAATTTATCGTCATAGTTTCGTCAACGTCTCCGCACGGCCGTTTTCGCAGTTCCGCGGAAAATTTAGCGCGGTCATTTCGATCACTGTCAACTAGCCATAAAACTGGAGAGCAAGCATCGAGGTAGCTTTATATTTCGTTGTTTATTTTTCTTTTTCTTACGCGCGATTTTATAATTTATCATTATTTCGCACAGATAAGACACGTATATCGTTCGCGAAAGATACGCCTACACGGAAAAAAGATGTGGCGCACACAAGCAGAAATATTTAGCTGAGAGCAGAGTATAGTTGCATTACCATTGTTATCTTTGTGTGATGCTAATATGTATTTGTTGATATAACTCAGTTTAGTACATCAAGCACATCAATGTAGTTGCAGACGATCTGGTTATGGCAACCAGAAATCGACTCGGGTGACATTTACCATGGATACACTTTAGTCAAAGTGACCAGACATTATCACTGTAGTTCAGCAATTGGTTTGTGGTTACCAGCAACCACATAATTGGCCGTAATTATATGCACGAATGATCTAATCTACATGAAGTACGTTTCAAGGAAAATAATGATGAAAATTTGATACATGATTTAGAAATGCAGTGACAGCACTAATTTTCTTCGTTCCAAAGCCAAACATGGTCAATTTTCTTCTCTTTAAGAGGACTCCACACTTGAAAATTTTATCGACAAAATATTGACTAAATGAACAAAACGGTCTACTCCATTTATTTCCGCTTGATATCGCGCTATGTTATTTAAAGCAGGGCGCGCGTATATGTATTTTCTATACGTTTCGTCTCTTATATCGTCAAAATGGATCTGACTAAATGGACAAAATAGATCGTCTACAAATACTAACTTTATTCTGCGAGATTTATGTCGTGTTACGACATAATTGCGCTATTTTTTTCGTATTTTTTTGTATATTTTTGGTACAGAACTTACGTAAATATGTGTTGCTTTGTCTTATCACACTGAAAGAAATTATCCGAAAAAAATAAACAAACGGATATTTCTGATTAAAATGTCTTTATCCGATTAGGAAATATCCGATAAGAAAAATCGATTTATAATTTTTTGATCGATTTATGTGATGAAATGCCATTATAATCGAAAGTATCCGATAAAATTTAATCGGATATCTTGATCGGATATAAAAATTGATCGAAATTTGATCAATTTTTATATCCAATAAATATTATATATAATATTATATAAATATTATATTTTATATCCGGAAATATTCATTTGTTAATTTTTTATCGAATAATTTCTCTCAGTTCTATGAAAAACCTAACCACACATATATAGAAATCTTTCTACAAGCTTTTCGGATATTATTAAACTTCTGTATTCAAATGCGAAGGTATAGCAATGTTTTTCCAAATTTTTCAAAATTTTCCAAATTTCCAAAATTATTTGGGTTAAGCAAATATTAAGCTACCTACAGTTTAATATTTTATATCTAAAATTTTTGTTTTCCTCCCATATTGAGTAAGCTCCTATTTATTTTTGCACGTATTTTCATTGCGTAAAAGTATTTGTAATTTTGTATAACCAATATGACGTAATAACTTTGCAGAAAAATACCAGTATTTTATCGGTAAAGTTTTCAGCATCCCTTTCATCAATCAATTTTTTCAGTACGTAGAAAGACGTACTGAATTATTCATTGGTAGAAAAAAAGAAAGCTTGAAAATCATAATTTCGTGGATTGGATCATTCTTGCATAACTAAGGCCAATTAGTTGTTCTGTATTTCATTATTAATCTGGTTGGTACAGTCAGATTTTTGTACAGGCGAACCATACTGTTGGTTTTCTTCTCATGTACTTAATATTCTTCATATTAAATTTTCGATCGCGAGCAAGTTATAGGTAAAATGCGTCGGGGCATTGTCTAAGTTCAAAATTACGATGTGCAGCGCTTGTGCAACAGCTGGCAATATTAAATGTGCTCGCGGTGTATGAAGTTGTTCCGAAAGCGCGGCACTACGAAATGCAATTACACGACTGAATCGCCGTCCGAAAGTGTGAGCGCTTTTATTATCCACTATTTCACGATCCAATATCTAGTTGTAAATATCTCATATACGTTTTACATTACGTGCATTGAAATGTGTCGCTTTAAATAGAAATAAATCTCGCGCTCTATACGTTTGTATCAATTTGACGGGACGTCGATCGTTCCTCCATTCATCGGCTCCATTTATTTCCGTTTACGCGTTTTGATATCGCGCAATGTTATTTAAAGCAGGGCGCGCGTAAATGCATTTTCTACACGTTTCGTCTTTTATATCGCGACAACTATAAATCCGAGAGATCGCGCGGAATGATCATCGCGCGCAGCCGGTATTAAACGCCGCGATGCAGCTCGAAGATAACCTTCCGCCTGCATTCGCGAGCATTAAGAAATGATTAAAGCCGCTCATACATGAAGCCTCCAACTTTGCCGATAACCACCACCGCGATCGCGAGGAAGTTTCGGAGAGGAGACTCGCGTGAAAGTTGGCGATCGCGATCGTGAACGCTCGTATTAGCTCTTTTGGAATCCGCCGAGCACCGTGAAAGGCGCACACTGGAATACCGCGCCACGTATCGTAAAAGTAAAAGTTATCTGAAACTACAATTTAGACGCGCGCGACATAAACAGGTACACAAACAAGTCCCCCAACTCTTGCTCGAACGCGCGCCCATGAACGTGGAAGAAAGGAAAGCTGCGCTCCGAACGGAAAAACTCATTTCTCCGATCACGGAAGTTGCGCCGTTCGATGCCCGATTACTTTTGAGGAATGAGGTCGCGACGAGGAAACTTTCGGGAGATCTTGACGGGCTGTCCCATCGGAATTCGTTTTTACGCGTACCCTGGGGTGTTCGTGCGTATCGACTTACTTGTGGCGATTATTTTCGACAGTTGGCCGAGGGAACGATAACTATGGAGATTGAGGGTCTATTGCTCGTATTTAAAAAATCACTCAAAATAAAGTTCCTAAAATGAAAAATTTTTGAGGAAATTAATTTATTTTGCATGCAAAAGTGATCACAAACAACTTAGAGTCAATGTCACATTGCGTTAAAAGTTCTTCCATTTTGGAGTACGAGTCTAGCAAGCGTGATGACGTGCACTGTTAAATCCGTAGTGTCAAATTATACTTAATTTGAGTTATTTTTAACCATTCCTATAAGTCGCTACTCCTACTAAATATGTCATTAATTTAACTAATGTAATGGAGTTAAATAATTTAACTTAAGAATTTAAATTTGACTAAAATTTAGTTTATTTTTTATTATGCGCACATTAATGTAACCTTTGTTTTAGTAAAAAATGACTTAATATTGTTTTAAATGGGTTGATTAGATGTGGTTGTTTTTTTAAACACATGTTTTGTGTTAAAATAGTAAATTTTGACACACATGATAGTTAAAAATAAGTAAATATTATTTAACTCAAGAAATTGGTTTAAATTTAAACCTCCAATATTTAACAGTGTGTTAATGACGCCTTAGTGACGTCTCCAACGTCAATAATACATCTCTCTCAAGCTAGCAGGACCAAATGAGCAGAATCGAATGGGACTTATCGCATTTTTTTAGTACTCATTTTGTACTATTTTGTACCACAAAAAAAAAATTTGTACTACGTGCCGTTTTAAAAAAAATCGTGGCGCTGCTAACTTGATATCAAGCTAGCAGGACCAAAAAAAATAAAAAAAAAAAAATAAACCATCGTACACACAATTAGTACTGAATTTGTACTAATTTGTACCATTTGAAATAAGTCGAAAATTTTATATTTTCCCTTTTAAACAACCCCTCCCTTATCTAAACCTAATATAAAGATAGCAGGATCACGATTTTTTCACTTTTTCTTGATGGTACAAATTAGTACAAATTCAAAAACGATAAAATCTATCATTTCTTGTCGATTTTTACCAGTTTTCATTTTGTTCTCTTTATACTAAGTCAGCAGGACCACAATATTTTTTTAAATAAAACGAGGTACAAAATCATTTTTGATAATACAAAATACTACACAATTAATGTAATTTTGTACCATTAAAAACAATTTTGTATTCCATATCCTTTAAGAGAAATCGTGGTCCTACTGACTTAATATAAAGTCAGCAAAAATTGTTAAAAAAACGAAACAAATAGTAGATTTTGTCGTTTCAGAATTTGTACCAATTTGTACCACCAAAAAAAGTATCAAAAATATTTCTGCCGACCCTTTAAAATAACCTCCTCAACTTTGACTAGCTTCAAGAATAAAGCTTTCTGCTCCGATTATTAAGAATTAAATCAGTAAAATCAAATCAAATTTATTGCATTTTTCAATACTTATTGTGTAGTATTTTGTACCATTAAAAATGATTTTGTACTTTGTTTTATCTATAAAAAATGGTGGTCCTGCTGACTTAATTTTACGCTAACAGAATAAATATAATTGAAAAACGGCAAATTGCAATAGGTTTTATCGTTTCTGAATTTGTACTAATTTGTACCACCGAGAAAAATATGCAAATATTTCTGTTTACCCCTTAAAACCTCACATTTAACCAACCTCAAAAATAAAATTTCTTTCTTTCGATTATTAAGAATTAAATCAATAGAATCAAATTATATTTATTGCGTTTTTTATTACTCATTGTGTACTATTTTGTACCATAAAAAATAATTTTGTACCCCGTACTATTTAAAAAAATATTGTGGTCCTGCTAACTTAATATACAGAAAACAAAATAAAAACTGGTAAAAAACGACAAGAAATGATAGATTTTATCGTTTTTGAATTTGTACTAATTTGTACCATCAAGAAAAAGTGAAAAAATCGTGATCCTGCTATCTTTATATTAGGTTTAGATAAGAGAGGGGTTGTTTAAAGGGAATATAAAATTTTCGATTTATTTCGAATGGTACAAATTAATACAAATTCAGTACTAATTGTGTATACCATGGTTTATTTTTTTTTTTATTGTTTTTGATCCTGCAAGCTTGATATCAAGTTAGCAGCGCCATGATTTTTTTTAAAACGTGGAACAAATTTTTTTTTGTGGTACAAAATAGTACAAAATGAGTACTAAACAATGCGATAAGTCCCATTCGATTCTGCTCATTTGGTCCTGCTAGCTTGAGAGATAATACGCCATTAATATATATTATTTAACGCTATCCTGCTATGTTCAACCGTGCTGTGGAAATATATGACGTTATTTTGGATAAAGGAAAAGATAATTAAAAAATAATGATAAAAAATCTCAATTTCTGCATACGTGTACTTTGAGTATTTAAAATAATGTGCGCAAAATTTCGACGTGGTTCAGAGATAAAAATTATATATAATATAAAATAATAATTAGAAATGGTATAAAATAAAATTAAAAAAAAACTATAATATACATATGTCATACGTTTCTGTATGGAAAGTAGAAATATTAACTCATTTTCATTATTGCAGGGGCAACAAGTAATATCCTTAAGTGCTCAATGAACATTTACTAAAACACTTTTTCATCAATATTGAAGAATGTTGGGGAAATAATTCTTGTCAGTTATACGTATCAATTATTTTAATACGCGATAAAGAAAAGTAAAAGAAGAAAACAGAAGAAAAACGCGGTCGCTATGGAAATCGATTTGCGAACGAAAATATTTTTGCATTCGTCCTGCCAAATACTTCTCTGATTTCTCTATTTGCTCGGACGCGTGCAGAGTAAATCTTGCGCGTTAACTCAACTTGAGCTTTTCTTTCTTCTCCTTGGGAAGAAACTCTGTCGTCAAGTTTGCCGCGATTCGTTCGTAATAAGTTGGATTGGAAATTATATAGTTCGCGACGGACGCGTAGAAAGTTTTTTTATTATCCCGTTCGCGCGCTTAATGGTACTTTGCGATCTCTCTCCGACTGCGATCGAGTTGGCCACTTGAAAATCAATTTTGGGCACGTCTCGTCCGTTCTATTGCGCGTTCATATTCGAGTTAGAGATCGATACGGTCTTCGTATCGGAGACAAAGGAAAAAGAGATTCTGTGTACCGCGAATGGAATGAAAAACGAAAAAATTCGCGATGAGTCGGTGCCGTCGGGAGTGAGCGCAGAGTGTGTTGGGCGAGACGAGCATTAACGGTGAGAAGCGACGGTGGTGCAGGGACACAGAGGGGAGGGAGGGGGAAAGGAGGAAGGAAGGATCGGTTCTGCTAAAGGTAAGAATCTTCGTTGCTCCGCAGGATCGTCGCAGAGTACGACAGAGTTCGTAATGCACTTCGATCTCTGAAGTCAATTTCATGGAGGTCGTGGCCAGCGGAGAGGAAGCGCGTGTATCAGCTCCAGAGCCGTCTGATGGAGAAAGAGCGGGAGATGTTTCCGGTCACCGCGGTAATTGACATCGAGGCTTACATCCTCTGCGTCGCGGCCGCCACACGGAAATACTGCGTGAACGAGGACAACTTCAAAGTCATAAAAATCGTACGCACGCTCCTCTTACTTATACCCGTGATATTCGTCGTCGCTTACGTTGTATTTCTTAATCACACGAACGCGGTCAGATAAGGGTAACCTGTGCATGGGAGATTTCGCTTGCTTCTCTTTCAGAAATTCGCAGTAAGAAGAACACTTAACGGTTCTGAAACGCTCTGTATACTCTGTGTAAATATTATCGAAATTCGCGGAAGCGTATCTCGATTTAATCATCTGCATACGCTGCTTTTTATATATATATATGGAACTTGAATTATATCTTTCCTAGACTTGTACAGGGTGTCTGACACAAGACATATAAATGTGTGAAGATAGAGCATGTCATAACTTGATGAAGTTTCCTGGCATTTTGTAAACAAAATGTAAATTATATAAAATTTCGAGACGTTGTAAAAAGAAGATTGGTGAACTGAAGCGTACGGCTATGAGACGAGCTTTGTTAGCAAGATCTCATCGAAAGTGGCTGAAACGAGACTATTTCTTGACGATACGACATGTTCACGATACGTTAAAAAACATTTATCTGCGCACTGCTCGTATCCTTAAGCCTAATCTACAATGTGCTCTTTATTTTCTATTTTCCACTTTTTATCTCTTGTATCTTTGCTTTTCGATGTTTTACCGATGATTTTGTCTTCGATGATTGTGTCTTTTATTACGTGTCTCTTCTGAAGTTCGTCAACTTTTATTTCAAAGTAAATAACAAGAAACAATAACAAGAAACACAAAAAGCACCACAAAATCAGTGAAGTTAAAGGAAGTTGGTCAGCCTTACCTAATCAAAATTACCTATTCTGATTGGTCCACATGAAGTGATGCTTTTCCTCAGAGAGAACAAATTGTACACGACGATGTTCCTTGGTTCTAGGCGACAAAAAAACAAGAAACGAAAGGCAGAAGCAATGAAACAATACACAAAGAACACACATTGTACATTGAGCTTTACTCTGCCGTCAACTTATATTCATCTATGCTCAGAGGCAGTCGCATTTCAATTATTTTCGATAAGATCTGATAGAATCCGTCTCACATAATATCGCGCGCTCTGGTTCGTCAATCTTTTTTTCATTAATATCTCGAAATTGCACGTGGTTGTCTGTAAAATGTCAAGAGTTCTCGGGCTCAGGTTGACGTGCTCTATCATAACACATGATTTTGTATGTTTTGCTTTAGAGATACCTTGTAGAACTTGTCCCACAATAGCGCGCATTCTAATTCGCCAATCATATTTTTTTTTAATTTCACGTTTGCAAAATGCCAGGGATTCTCGTGCTCAGGTTGGCACGCTCTACCTTCACACGTAGTTTCATATATTTTGCGTCAGGCACTCTGTATGATCGCGTTCAACCGAGTCACACAATGTATGAATAGTGCTCATAATACAACATCTGGTTTGTACGAATCAGTCAGACGCAAAGTCCTTTCCGACAAGAGCCGAAGGTATCTCGCTTCGGCCATTCATGAGATTGATTCCAGAGGCAGACTCGTGGCCGCACGGAATCGTCCGTAGCGCTTCACAAATATTCGTGAGAGCCGTGCCGAGGCGTCTGCACGAGAAAATGCCGCTTGGGTGAAAGTTTCCAGGCGAACATCTATTCGCATTGGAGCGCTCGCGCGGGTGTATCAACGAAGGCATATTTCCGACACGTTCTCTCTTATGCAACACCGCCGCGCCGACTTGCACTCATTCTCTTCATCGAAAGGGATACAGAGAAAACGGGGAATATTATTTGTAGATTTTATATGTTCTCTGGAGGACAGGGTGAAATACGCGCGAAATTCTCGCGAAAGCTTTCCGATGCGCGTGCGTACATAAGAATCGCTTGAGGCTGAATGCGAGAATGCGACGCGACGATAGAGTTTTGACACCTGTTTCTAGAGCAGCGGTAAAACACGTGTAAAGGATGCTTCTTAATGTTTATACGTACACGGTAAAAAACATTTTGTACTTGCGTTGAAACTGGTTCTTGTTAATAATTTTCTGTTAAATTCTTAACATTCCCGCGTATTAATTTAACATATTTTGTTTGTATTATCCGAATGTTTTGTGTTAAATTAATATGCAATATATGTAAATATTAAAATTACACATTTTATACTTCAGTACAAACTAACATTTATGTAATAAATGTTAATATAAATGTTAATTTTACCGAAAAATTGTTTCGTCTTACGACATACATTGTACAAAGTGTATCTACAATCAGAGTAAGAATGGTATAATAGGTAATGTAAGTGACTTTCACGAGGCAAGAAAAATATGATATTAATTGAATCAATTGGAGAACATATAATTGAAGATTTCAGATAAAATCATTGATAAAACTTTAAAAACAGCGCAATAAAAAAGGAAATGAATACAATATTTTTCTTACTGTGAAAATAACATTTGTTTTTGTTATGTTACATTCGACATTATACATAGATGTCAATTTTAAATAAAATTCGTTTTAAATTAGTGCTGATGTTAATTTTGTTATGTTAATTTTTGACACAATGTGTTATTTTTTAACATATTTGCCTTATGTTAATTTACAAAAAATTGGGTAGGCCGTTCTAGATATGTAAAATATTAAATTCAACATAAAATTTTTGCTGTATATATAAGATACTATATATCTTTGTGACTGTTTTAAAAAATTATACTGACGAAGAGCGTATATGTTTTGTATAATAAATTATTGTTAAATGCGAAATATATAATAATCTATTGCTTCATATAACAAGAGATTATTGTCTTCACTTACGTTTCATCTGAAAGCTCTGCATTGGACGACACTAAATTTATATCAAAACGTAAAAGACTCAATTCAAACATTGAAATTATTTCATAAAGTTATCGCGTCTAAATTCTTTTATCATTTTCCGTAACGGTAGCGAAATTAAAGTAATAACGTACATCTCACCGCGGAATATTCTTACTAGCATATATAACGTACGTCGTTCCATTTTTTCCGCTCCACGTTGTCAGCAAAAATTTCGTTCGCGTGACTAGCCCGTGGGAGCCTGAGCCGAGTTATGCTTTCAAAATCCTATTACGAGTTGCGAGCGCGAAATTTAGCAAAGAAAGTTGCGGATTAGTTTCGCGGGATATAATTGGACGTGGTGGGTGGAACTGCGCCTTCATAATAATAATTGGGAACGTCTATTCCGCGGAACGAAGTTCCCCTCCCTTCCTCTCGTTGTCGGTGAGAGACCGAGGGAACGAGGGTTCGGAGGTTAAAAAAAGAGGTTAAAGGCGGGCGGCTGTCGGATGGAGGGAACGAGGTAACGGTAAAAATGGCAAAAGCGAAAAAGAGAGGGAGGGAGATCGTAAAGTGAAAAAGACGTGGCGGGTGTGTATATTCAATTTAACTCTAACAGAGTGGTATGAATAAGATGTACGTATATATATGCTAAGTAAATATATATATATATATATGTATGTATATATTATATATGCCTGCAATTGCCTCTTTGCGAAAGTGACTTACACCGGCGCACTTGGAACGATAGAACGACGCGTAGAACGAGAGAAAGAGAGAGAGAGAGAGAGAGAGAGAGAGAGAGAGAGAGAG